CGACCAGCTCGCAGGACGGGTTGAGGAGAAGACAAGTTGAAAAACTTGCGTTTCACAGCTCCGAAGCTGTTCAAATCGTTGCTCGACTTCGACCAGCTCGCAGGACGGGTTGGGGAGAAGACCAGCTGAAAAACTTGCGTTTCACAGCTATGAAGCTGTTCAAATCATTGCTCGACTTCGACCAGCTCGCAAGACGGGTTGGGGAGAAGATATACGGAAAATAACAAGTATGACAATTTGAAATGAGAATAACGTAGACTCGAAAAGATTAAAAATCAGCAGAAGTATGACATTAATACAAGCATCAAAGGATAATGATATTAAACAGAAACATCATTACATTCTGAGTCGTCTCGGCCTTTACATATACCGAAAATAAGCCGAGACGACACAAACCATAAAAGCTTTTTCTTTTTTCAAAAACGAAATGAACTTTAAGACTCGGCATCAGAATTTTCATCCTCGTCATCATCTTCAGGAGCAATAGCTTGAATTCTCTCGGCATCATCATCACCAGCCTCATCACTTGGCTTCTCGCCATCACCAGCAACTCCCTCCTGCTCCACCCCCTCAACCTCATCCTCTCCGACCGGCTCCTCACGTTCCTCGGCATTGGAGGACCCCGCATGATCCGCTCCATTTGGCCCGACTAGTTCGGTCAGACCAGCCAAAGGAGAGAGGGGAACTTCGAGCCGGTCACCCAGCCTGGCCTTGCGGATTGCTCTCACCTCGAGGTCGACCCACCATGGGTGATCCGCGGGGAGAGTCGCATCGCCCCTATAGCCGTCGGAGAAAGGAAAAGTTTGCTTGACCGCCTCACGGTCGAGCTTACCCGCGCACTCGGTCTTCTCCACGGCCTTCTCCCACGCGTCAATATGGTTGAAATACTGGAGAGTCGCAGAGCAGAGCTTGTCGAGAAAGGCGGGGGAGTTGCAGAAGAGATTCACAGTTTCTCGACGATAGTGCTCGAGGAACACAGAACCCATGGGTGACTTGAGAAAGGTCTTGCGTCCCTCGAGGATCCCCGCCTCTCTCTCGACCATGGCGTCGTCAGCCGCCTTCGCCAGGACAGCTTGAAGTTGGTCGACCTTGAAGAGGGCGGCGGCTTTCTCGGTCTTGAGTTTGGCAATCAGAGCTCGAGGAGTTGATCTTCATACTTCTTTTTGAAAGAGTGAACATTGGAGTCAAGCGAGCTGGTATCCTCGAGAGAGAAGGCATAATAAATGCCATGAACTGAAAAGAGCCATGAATGAACAAAGTCAGAGACAAAGTTAAAACTCAAGTAGAAACAATCGACTGAAATCAAAAAGTTACCCGGGAAAAGCAAAGGAGGGCACGACTAGCACGGTCGTAGGGATCGCGGTCGGCGCGGGCCTTACCGGCAGCAAGGATAATGGAGTCGAAATACTTAGCGATTTCGTGAGGATGAGGGTGATCCCAAAGTCGGGAAGGCCTCTCGAGGGTGACTGTCTCGAGCTGGCCGGGAGGAGGAGTTTGCTCGACGGCCTTGCCTTTGTCCTTGGTCTTCTGGCACTTGAGAGAACCAGGGACAAGAGTGACGTCGACCGCGTCTTGAGCTCGCTTCCGAGGAAACGAGCCCGAGGCCTTTTTCTGACTCCCCGAGGGCGGGAGTACAACCTTCGACTTCTTGACGGCAGTCGTCTCGACTTCCGTCTCTTTCGCACCCGACCCCGAGCCACCGTCGGGTTTCTACGGAGGGGTGGATCGAGCAGCAGATTTTCCTTCACTCTTCAACTTCTCAAACCGGGCAAGAACGGAATCTACAAACAGACATAAAAAGTCAGTCACATCAGCATAAAGACTTAAAATAGAGACATCATGAAAATCAGACTTACAAGGGTCGTCGAGACAAGAAAGATCCTCGTCGACAATGAGGCCGACATGATTAAGAAGGGACATCTCTTTAATCAACGGTTGAGCTTTGTAAGTGTGTTTATTGAGCTCGACCAGCATCGGCTCAAATTTTGGGCACTGTGGCCGTTTATTTTGTTTAACCTCGGAAGTAATCCAAGTATTTGGGTATGGATATGTACCGGAGGCAGGTCGAATAAAAACAAACTTAGATTTCCACTTAGTTACATTTGAAGAGAGGTCATCGAAAAAGGTGACACTGGCACGACGACCCAAGCAATGGGCGTCTTTTATGAATCTATAACTATAACAATAAAAGATGAACTCGAGAGAGAAATATCGAAGCTTTATTCGGGAAGCAACGATGAAAGCAATCATAACGCGAAGGGCGTTACGAGAGAACTGATTTATTGGGACTTTATACAAATCGCTGATAGCGCGAAGTTCGGGTTGAATTGGGAAGCGAAGACCGAACAACACTTGGTCGATAAAGAATGTGTAGAAGCCAGGAAGAGGATGAGCAAAGTCGTTATTAGGGCTAGGAACCACCAACTTCTAGTCGGATGGAAGACCACTGTACACTTTAAAGACCTCGACCTCGGCTACAAAGGCATAACAAAAAGGATTTAAAATAGCCAACTTGGCTAAAGGACATGCTACAGAAACGACATCTCGAACCTCGAGAAGAGGCGCGATTATGGGTAAAGAAGAAGGACTTGTTCTATATACAGAAAAATCTAAGATCCTAAGGGGAATACCTCGGGGAATGAGGTCGAGACGAGGAGACTCCTTGGCGCGGGAAGACTCGGGATCTTCAGCCAAGACACCCGACATCCACGCTTGTCTATAAGCATCTTGATCGATGCCGAAAGAAGATACATCTGAATGAGAATTTTGTGATTGATCGACTGGTTTGAAGCCGACTACTTGTACTGAATCGGACGATTGAGCGCCTGCGTCGATCAAACGTTCGACAGTGTCGGGCGAAGAGTCGGAATCAGAATCTAGAAAAAGAAACGAAAAAGAAGAGACGGAATCAGTAAGTGTAGAAATCAGCAGGGAGCAAAAGTTTAGCACAGCCAATGCGAGGTAAGTCGACTTGCAAAAGTCGTCAAACGTTGAGTCGACGAAGAAGCATAGAAGGGAAGCCTCTGGGAAATGATTCCAAAATAGATAAAGTCGCGAGAACTCTAAAACTCGCCTTAGTCGAAAAGATGATAAGATATGCTAACTACTGAAGAAAAATTAAACCTAAATCGACCTAAGAAAAGTTATACAAATCGGTTCTCGACAAAAAGCCAACACGTGGCAAAGCCGAGAAACAAGAAGTCCAAGGAAAACTCTGGTCAGAAAGATCTAACAAAAAGTCCATATGAAAGTTTGAAGAACACGAAGAACACCTGAGGTTTTCAAACTCGAAAAACCCAGAAGGCTTGAAGATCCGCAAAAATAACACAAGGAAAAATCCAACAAATCACAACAAATAAACCTACAAATCATAAACGAGAAAGCGTACACATATTCACGATGGAAAGAAGCCTTGAAGAAGATGGATGGTCACCGGAAAATCAAACGCCGAAGGGAGCCGAAAGCCTTTTTAATCGCCAGAGGATTCTGGAAGATTTGAGAATAGGGGAAGAAAGTGACTTACAAAATAAAGGGGAGAGTATTTATAACTCAACAAATGAACCCTAACCCTTGGATAAAAGATAGATCCAACGGTTCACGATCAGGCACATAATTCGAAACGGTAAAAGGCAGTGCCACATCATTACAACCCTAATTTGAAATTCAAAAAGGGTCTGTCAGAGTGCCAGACTTATCCGAAAAAGCAATCATAAGAGGTTGAGGTGTTCCCCAATCAACTGACGAGACGACTTATAGAAGAAGCAAGTGCGAGCAAGAATGGCAGGAAGACGACACAACCATACCCCACTAAATTTACTCTTAAGCAGTCGACTGCTTAAAGTAATTTTTAGGGGGGGGGGGGGGGGACTAGATGATATAGGCATAGAAAGATATGCCGGTCCAAAGGATCAATACTCGACCGGAGAATAGCCCAGACTGTTCAGATGACGACATAGGCCTGTCGGTATGCTTAAGTCGACTCCCATCAAGTCGACTTCTCATCGAATGGTCACAAAGAGACGGCAGGTCTCCTACAAGGTCGACTCCCAGAGGTCGACTTCCTATAGATCAACTCCTCGAGGTCGACTTCCTTTAGTCGACTCCCTGATACCCGACTTCTACTTGAAGAGTCAGCAAGAGCGTAGCCTCCGAATAACCAGAAGACCCCGAGTCGGCTCGTCCGTACTCGGTGTCGACTTCTCACATCTCGAGACGTGAGGTACACTAACGACTCAGCACACTTGTAACATACTCAAGGCTCTACATATTCCCAAGGATAAGAAGGAATCTTGTGATGACTCAGCAGCAAGGGGAGACGAATCGACCGGGGCATTTCGTTCCTTTTAGGCCCACCGACTTGGGCATTCTGGGTACTTCAAGTAAGTATTCACTCCTATATAAAAGAGATGAGGTAACCCTAAAACCCCACTCTCATTCATTCCACACTCTCCTCATAGCTGCTGCGCAGCATCTCTTCATCACTCTCATACTGACTTGAGCGTCGGAGGCTCTACGCAGGAAACACCTCCGGCGTTGAGTTTTTGCAGGTATCTCGCGGTCTAGCAACGATTCAGAGACGGTTCAAGCAGATCTGAGCTCAAATCCACCGGTTTACTCCAGATTTGGAAGTAGACCCAACAAGAGCTATTAATGGAGTTCTTGAGACTTCAATATTTCCCAGTCAATCTTTTGTTTGGTATCTCCAGACCCCTGTAATTTCTAATTCAAGTTCATGTCAAACTTTCATTTCCATTTGCTGTCAAGGTTTTAGTTGCTTCTTCTGTAAATTACAGTTTGAGACCTTTTAACTTTGCATGGATTAGAAATACATGTATATCCGCCTCTGATCATGAATGTCATTCAAGTTTATCAATCCTTATTATCATGCATATCCAACTAATTTCTATCTTTTATATTATGTTCTTTCCCGCCAATTGGTCTATTAACACTTCGTGACGAATCTACAACCTGGAGAAGAAGACGTGAAAAAAGTTTTGCAAATGTCAGAGGAATATATTCGTGCTCAAGAGAGATATCCTTATACTGCATTTGCTAACCATGTCAGGGCGATCAACTATGGAAATTCCTATTTCTTTAGGGTAATTTATCTATCCTTTGCTATTTACTTTTTTTATTTTTTATATTTTGATACTAATATGGGTATTTTTCCTTCAGCCTATTAAAATGAGTGACAGACGGAAAGTTGATCCCTTCAGAGCTTGTGAGTATTTTAACAACTTCTTATCCATCAATTTTTTTACTGTGATCGTTGTTGGTAATATTGATCCTGCCACTGCTTGCCCTCTGGTACTGAAGTATTTGTTAAGTGTTGTGGATCTTTCTAATAATTTCTGGTGATTGATGTGTCTTCTCTGTTTATGAGTTTTCTAAGTACTTTATGTAGGGCCGGATCCTAAGACCTCCGAAGCCAATCCTAAATTTCAAACGTGATGAACTCAATGGCTTGCCATTTACTTTTCCGTCCACTGTAATTAGGTTGGTCAACCTTTAGTTACCTTTTGATTTATTGACAGATAGGGTGCTGCTTGATAAATAATCTCTTCGTCGGTTATGAATAGATAAAGCACATAAATGTGTATATTGAGTATTGCTTTTGTCTCTACTATGTACCCTTGGCTGGGAAATAATACCTATATATCCAGTCTACAAGTTTTTAGAAATGATGGTAGTTTGTGTGTGGAACCATTCATTTGTTGTACATGCATAAATATCCACCTCATCGCGAACATACGTGCTTACAGGGAAATTATGCGGAGCCCCATGGTGCAAGCTCAATGTTCGGTCCAATTATGCTTTCCGGTTGAGCTTAAGAATGCAAATATGGTAAACAGTTACACCTTCACAAAAATGATTTAAATTTGGACCGGGAATGGGGATTTGTGTACTTTTCTTTTGGGAACATTTTGAGGTGAGTAGGAATTTGGCATATATATTGCTTTCACTTATAGAGAAGATCATTGTCTTCTTTACCTTTATACTGCAGATGGAAGATGTTCACTTGACTGGATTAATAAGCAAGCTTCTAAAAACAAAGATAGTACAAGTCCTCCGCTTTAAGCATGGGCAGGTGCGCTCATGAAATCTTTGTGCTTTATCCAAGAATTTAGGCTAATTTACACATCTATATACATTATAATGAGTTTTTTGCACATATACGACATAAGAAGCTTAATAGCACATAGACGATAATTAGGTAATTTTATTTGCCTCATATGTTAAAATTCCACTAACATAAAAATATACAGACAAAAAGGCAATGAAATTTTACATTAATGCAACTTAATTCAACTTGCCGAGCCCCTTTGTCTGCTCCGAAGGCATCTCCTGCCGCTGGATACTCCATCTCTTGCTCCCGCCGCCAATGTTGAGGGACCCATCAGCCCTAGTGAATCTTCCTACCTGGTGGTGCCGCCACGAGTGCTGGATTCTTCTTCTTTTAAATGTTGATGGGGCCAGTCTTTAATTCATTTTTCTTTCCACCATTGTTTATGAATTTTCACTGAACACGATTGATTGAATAAAAGGCTTTTAGATGATAGTTTTTTCTTATGTGAGATGTTATATCCTTTTGTTTAGGCTGCATCTGGGTAAAATTTCGACGAAGTTTTGGGGGTTAGGAAAACAGTGTTGTTGTTGTACGAATCGGAGATTTGGTTCTGCGAAAGTTTAATTCGGTAATTGCAGGAATAGAAGCTAATGACATTGCTCAGGCGGAGAGGGTGGGTGGAGAAGCGGTCAATGGTTTTAATCCACGATCTTTCTCCGTCTGATGGTTTTGTGTTTGGATCGTGGAAAGCATGACCAGATAAATAATAAGACAATAGCTTTTTAGTGCCAAATTACTAATATTTTTAATTGTAAATTTATATTTACTTTATTTTTAGATTATGTTAGGTTTTTAAACCAGTTTTTTTTCTTTTTTTATATTGTAAGTTTATATTTAGTTTATTTTTAGATTATATTAGGTTTATAAACCAGTTTTTTTTTTTAGTTTATACTTAGTTTATTTTTAGATTATTTGTAAGTTTATATTTAGTTTATTATATGTTTACAAACCAATAAAAGAATAACAACTATAAATTTATATATAGTTTATTTTTAGTTTATTATACAAGAATACAGATTTTAAATTTATATGCAATTTATTTTCATTGTTTATAACATAAATACTCTTATACACACAGAAACCAAACATTTATTCACAAACTCACAACAGAATTACAAATAAAAATGAAACAAAATCCATCAATATACATAACTATAAGAAATATTCATAACAAAATATACATGAATCAACTAAAAACAAATGGCTTTGTCGTCTCGCATGAAAATGGATTGCAGGTTCATTCGCGAAATCCACTCATAATTATAGTGATATTATGGTTCTATGGGGCAAAATGACCCATATATTTTTTTATGCTTTTTCGTACCACTTAACTAACTAGGATACTTCAAAATGTATATATAATGGTCCACCACTCTTTGTGCTGATTTTCAGCATTGTCCAGGAGAACTAATATTGGTTAGAGAGGATTTTGCATAGCTACCAGTCGAGAATTTATTCTGGTGATGTTAGCGCTTCTTTCCAGGTTTTATATTATTTACTTTTTCAATATAAATAAAAATGCAACTGCCTTGATTTGACTAGAAATGCCATTGCTTCTCTACATGGAAGATGAACCCGCGAAGTCCCAGTCCATGTTTAGCCAGTATATCAAGAAGGGTGTTAAAGAAGATAACATGGAGGCTTTGTACAAGAAGGTACATACAACCATTCATGCTGACCCCATACGAAGAGAGGAAGACTAAGCTGATCGAGAGGTTGAATGCTCTCAATGCTGCAGCGAGAAATGATGATGAGTGAGGACATCAAATGTTAGACGAGTTACTATGAAATGTCAATATTGTTTTGTTTTACGAGATATTTATTTACCTTTTTTGTGGGTTCAGGATTTTTATAACATATGGCTGTGTTATGTGTATGGAGATTCTGTTGTGGGTTTTTTAGCTAATGAGATGAGATATTGGACACTTGAATAATAATAATAATAAAAAAAAAAAACACCGTTTCGAATTGAAGCCCCTTATATCAGTATCACGAAATTTTTTAAAAATTTCCCGTCTCTATAAATTAATTAATCAATTTATGATATAAAGTTGGCAAAATTAATAAATCCCGTTTTGGTATAAAGTGGGTAATTTCATTTTAGATATTTGATGGCCATTTTTATTTTTATTTTTTTGTAAGAAATGTGTTGTTATTAATAAATGTCTGATTTTATGGTATAAAGTGGGCGATTTTATTTTAGTAATAATGTACGAATTTAAATGGTATTAATTTTATTTACTATGGATGAAAGTATAGTTGGAAATTTTGAAAACAAAATAAGTGGTATGAGTTTTATTTGGAAATATATGATAAATTTTTATCAAGATATTTATTTTATGAAATCACATTGTAGTCAAATCAAATTTTTGAATAAAAATTTTAAAATAACACTTATTTTGAAATGAATATAATGTAATTTATTATCAGTTACATTCACTGTACGAGTTGTGTACTAATTTTAAGATATATTTTATGTAATTTTGCAAAATTTAAATTTCACATAACATTTTCAATAAATTAATATAGGTAAATTGTATTACATATTGGTTCCATATTTTTAATTTAAAAATTTTATTTAATGAATATTTTTAATTTATAAATATTAATGAAAATTTCTTACCCGTGCATCGCACGGGATTCGTCAGTAGATTGTTAATGCTGCTATTAATTCTTCTAGCATTTGGGAGACTGTACTGTGTTAAGGCTTACAAAGAACATGCGTCATCAGAGCATTGGCGATTCCAATGAACGTGACGAGCTAGCTGCTTTTCCTGATTGGATAGCGAGCATCGGATATGGAACATTGGGGGGGGGGGGGNTCAGACAGTACGTGTAAATCTGACTCCAATACCGACTTCCTGGCACAAGTCCATACTCCTGAGTTCTTGAATACTATCAAGTGTTCTGGAACACCGGATCATGAGTTGAATTTGAAGGTCGGAACTCCAGTTATGTTGTTACGGAACATGGATCACTCAATGGGACTCTGCAATGGTACACGATTGGTTGTGACCAAACTCTCCAATCATGTTCTCGAGTTTAAAATTCTTACTGGCGATCATGCAGGTGATAAAATTTTGATACCTCGGATGACCATAACTCCTTCTGATATAGTACCATTCAAAATCCAAAGAAGGCAGTTCCCCATTATGGTTTCGTATGCAATGACTATAAACAAGAGTCAAGGTCAATCCTTATTGCATGTTGGCTTATTCTTGAAGAAACCAATTTTTAGTCATGGCCAGTTATATGTCGATGTCTCACTTGTTACTAATAAGAAGGGTCTGAAAATTTTAATTTGTGGAGAAGAAGGTTTGAAAGAAAATCAAACCAATAATGTTGTGTATAGAGAAATGTTTAATAATATATGATTTTTTTATACTTTATATTTGTCTCCCTTTTTTTTTCCATTATAATGAAATTATTAATTTATAAACAAAAATATTTTAAATAAAATTTAGAAAAAAAAAGTTTGAGGAAACAACCTCACCGTGTTGCGCACGGGTACTACACTAGTAGATATAGATATAGATTTCAAAGATATTGTACCTATTTTTCATTTTTACTATTTCAATGGGACCTAAAAGGAAAACCCCTATATTTGTGGGACTAGCTTTAAAAATTTCTCGAACATCACTATTTACTATTTAATTCTTATTCCAATCCAATTACACTCTATCCTTACTTTCTATCTTTGTTTTCTTAAATTATAATCTCACTTGGAAAAGAAAAAAAAAATTATCTCACTACAAAGTCAAAATGAGTTGACCAAGAACGCATCATGTATAGATTAGTCAAAATACGTAAAAGAAAATTCCGATTTTTTTTATAATTTCTTATAAAATCCTACTTTTCTTTATAATTCTTTATTGTACAAAAAGACATACGAATTCCCTAAGATTCTCAATCTGACACAGATATTGCTAAATAAACGCGTACACAATCAGATTTTGGAATTTTTTTTTTTTTCCGCAAATCAAAATGAAATTTCACCCTAGTTTGATGATCTATGTATTTTTTTCAGTCAAATCTTTCATCATACATAAATTCCAGCTGGTCAAAACAAGTTTTTCTACAATTTCAAAAAGTAAAGAGACGAAAGTTCATCACAACATCATGTTCATAATCTCAACGATTTGTTTAACTCCTCCAATCTATATACACACTATCAAGATACAAACTTAAAAATCCACATTCTTCACCCTCAGAGTTTCTCAATTACATTCTAGGAAAATTACAATGGGCAATAAAACAATATTGCTTATTCTCTTTAACCTAATTCTATCATGTTTTCCACCAAATATATTTGCAATGACTCAAAAGGTTTCACTTTCCCGTATTTTCAAACAAAAGCAATTGAAAAAGAATGGCATTGATAAAATCGAGTTCAACGTCACGGATGCTATTCATGAAGTACAAATTCTAGCACAAGAAGGGCTCAAAGAGAAAGACCTAGTCGAGAGTTTGCCCGGACAACCAAGTAAGGTCAGTTTTAACCAGTATGCAGGATATGTCACTGTTGATCAAAAGGCCGGCCGAGCCTTCTTTTATTATTTTGTGGAAGCTCAACGTTCTCAAGATAAATCGCCCCTTCTTCTCTGGCTCAATGGAGGTTTATGGTTTTCCCTTTTTCTGTTTTCCCTTTTTCTGAATTTTATTTGGATTGTTTTTTATTAGAATAGTTTTACTAGAGATTGAATGTTGTTGCAGGACCTGGATGTTCTTCTTTAGGTTACGGAGCAATGGAAGAGATTGGCCCATTTCGAGTTAATAGGGATGGCAAGACACTCCACAAAAACCCCTATGCATGGAACAATGGTTTATTGTTCTTACTCAATTAATCACATGTTCATTTGGTAACATTTCTTTTGTCCAATATTTCAGATACATTTTCTTTTCTTTTCTTTTTTTTTTTTGGTAATTTTAGTTGCAAACGTTCTGTTTTTGGAATCTCCTGCTGGGGTTGGATTTTCTTATTCAAACACGACGTCTAATAACTTGACCACGGGCGATACAAACACGGCAAAGGACAATTACGTCTTTCTATTGAACTGGTTTGAAAGATTTTCAGAATATAAAGATAGGGAATTTTATATTGCTGGTGAAAGTTATGCTGGACATTACGTGCCTCAGCTAGCGCAAACTATTATGCATCACAATAAGAACCTTAACAACACTATGATCATCAATCTTAAAGGAGTCATTGTAAGTTAGTTTACTTTATGCACTTTGGTTATTTTATATGTTATTAATGTTGTAACTTAATTTCAATCTATATATATATATATATATATTACAAATAAAATATTTGAATTGTCGTTAGGTAAACCTAAATTGTTAGATTATATTATTTCGCATTATACATACTAATTTTTATTTAAAAAGAATGATGTGTCGATCAGCATAACTAGTAGGCAGATCGACCCATCCATTATTGCCTCGTAGTAGCATTTGTGCATTTTAGAAACAACACATGAAAAATAATCTAAATTGTTATGCTAATTAATATAACTAACATTTACCACAATTGATCTATAAATTATGAAGATTGGAAACGCTGATATCGATGAAGAGGCGGAGACCATAGGACTATGGGTATATTTGGGAAGTCATGCTTTGATCTCGGACGTCACCACAAGTAAAGCTCTAAAATATTGTAATTTTTCTACCTTCGCAACCACAGAACCTCGTGAATGCGAAGAAGCTGTTGAAGAATCTGGCAAAGAGAGTGGTAAAATTGATTTCTACAATATTTATGCTCCTGTATGCACAAATTCCAGCCTCACGAAAAAGATTTCAGTAAGTAATTATATATTACAAGGATGCACTCAACCTCCGACCTGCAATTGAAAGAAAAAAAAAAAGGAAAAAAAAAACTATAAATGCATGAATTGCGTGTAGTGTATCGATTATATTTAAAAGTATAAAATAGAAGGATGAAAAAGCCAAAAATTAATAAGTATATACACATTGCGAGATATACATGTTTATATGCCGTAAAACTTGTTGACGCAGGCAATGAGTCCAGATCCATGTATTGATGACTATATCAATGCCTACTTTAACAGGGCAGAAGTTCAAAAGGCACTCCATGCCAACATCACCAATATTCCTTATGTTTGGCAAATTTGCAGGTTAGTAAAAGAAATTATTCAATCTAAATTAATTCATACCCAAAATTTAACGCAACTTTAACTCAACCTCACTGTCCTCAATATTATCAATTATAATTAAATAATAACAACCAATTATTTTTACACATCATATCAACTTCATAATTTTAACTAATCATCACTCCATATCATCTCTCTTACTTTTACATCAAATCAACTTTAATTATTTTATTTTAATATAAATTCAAAATCCCACTAAAAACTAATTATACCATTTTTTTAAATTAACCGTAATTAACTAAAAAAAACTCACTTTTAATTAATTTGAGTCAATTTATTCTTTTACAAACACAGCTTAAACCTTTTTTTTTGTTTTGTCATCTTTAGATTTTCAATCCATCTCTCTCGCTAGGCTCTTGTCCATTACATGACCAATGACCAATATATATATGACAAAATCACTTTGAGAAGGAATTTTAGCCCCAAATATATGACTAAAATTCATTTATTGATTGATTGTGAGGATCTCTCAGTCTCAAATTTAACATTTAAGAACTGTCAAACAACAAATGTCTTAAAATAAGACTTATGCAGTTGGTATATGTAAGAACCTTGCTTGTTTTTTCATAAATATTAATTAAATATTTTTTCATAAATAATTATTATATACAACTGGCAGTAATTTTTTTACGAGTAATTTGGTCTGAACCAATAAAGTTCTAGTTAGTTTATTATCTCTATCCATATGTATTCTTTCGATTGCTTAGCTGGAAATCTATTTTGTTTTGAAAAAACAAATGCAGCGATGTCGTCTACGATAACTGGAATCAAAGTTCGTACACTGTCATCCCGATTCTCGAAGAGATTATGGCTAATGGGATTCGACTTTGGATTTACAGGTAACAACTATATGCAACCAAAATAGAAAATTTATTTACACGTGTCTTAATTAACTTTAGCTCTTCCAAAAATCTGAAAATGCAAACTCAGATTTTACGAGTTTTTTTTTTTGACTGGAGATTTTACGAGTTATCAATGTACAAATTAAAATTATTGAGCAAATTAATTTACACATATGCATTTATTTATATATGTGTATGAAAATGGTTTGATGTGTAAGTGCAGTGGGGACATAGATGCAGAAGTGCCAGTAACATCAACCCAACTATCTATTAAAAAGATGAAACTTCACACTCAAACTCATTGGCATCCTTGGTACCTTCAAGAAGAAGTAAGTAATTGCCACTCAAACTCGCTGGATTCTCTTATATTCTTTAAAATGATTTTTTTGTTAGTAAAATGTTCTAATTATTGTGTGAAGGGAACTCCTAAAATCGGGTTTTTATTGAGTGGATATAAATAAAATCTTATTATGTTATTCATGCTTTGGAATTACACAAGATCCTTCACATTCAAAAGTTGTAGATTTGGTAGGTGTAAAATTTAGGAAAATATGCAAGAAAAATAAATATATCTATATATATATATATAATTGTTAGCAAATTATTAAATAAAACATAATTAATAAAGCTTAATAAATGTTATCTATGTAGCAAATCATTAAACAAACCCTAATAAAACAATCTAATAAATTTTACCTATGTGACATTAATCCACCATATCCCAGTAATGATGTAATAAATTTTACCTATGTGATATTTATCCACCATATCCCAGTAATGATAAAATATTTCATTGCACTATTTTTTAGGTTAATAAGATAAAAAAAAACGTTACATTTTATATTAAATTAGTAATAATTATGTTTTATACTAAATAATATAGGAAAGTTACATAAACATAAAAGATTATATTGTAAAAACTTTTTGTTCAAGTTATTTATTCCAAAATCAACATTATATTTTTTATCTGATTAAGGGATTATTTTTTTAATAAATTAATTTATTTTAATGTTATAGTAAAATTCCTTAGAATCACATAAGTAATTGTTATAATAAATTTAATATTTTTTAGTTAATTAATTGATCATGATCCTCAAAATTACAAATATTACATTATTTATTACATTTTATTCAATCAATATAGTGATTCATATGCAATCGAATGATGTACTATATATTTTAACCAATAATCAAATTTTAAAACATAATATCATTATCTAACTTATAATTTTAATAATACATGCATAAATATAACTTATAATGCTCTATGTTTAAAATATCATACCATTATCTAACTTATAATTTTAATAGTATATGCATACAAATAATTTATAATACTTTTAACATTAGTTCAAATGCACATGTCTAATGCTAGTTCATCATAATTAGTCAGGTTACTTAAATAATCGTAAGACCTATCTTTTTACTTTTAATATTATAAAGATCAATTTGCGTGGATTTGTCTTTTTAAACATAACAACGCACTCCAAAATGTCATCACTTTTGGAATAATACCAATTATAAACACGTGACTCTATTAAAGCATCTAATATACGCCCAAAGTTCAAAAAATGTATCCACGGTAACTTTCAAATTAAATGCCAAGCACACAGTAAGATTCTTGGATTTATTACAAATTATCTATATTTCAATTAATTTATTTATTTTGGACCAGGTTGGTGGCTATACACAAGTGTATCATAACCTGACATTTGCTACAGTTCGAGGGGCTGGACATGACGTGCCTATGTATCAACCACAAAGATCATTTTACCTCATTAGCCACTTTATTGCCGGGAAACCCCTCTAAATTTCACCCACAAGAAATTGACATCTCATCTAGCTTATTGCCTTCTGAATTTTGATTCCAACTATAACTTAGATGGCAACATATATATTACCAAATAGGTTAATTGAATCATGTGAAAACCAGTAAAATTCAAAAACAAAAAACAACAACAATATCCTAAGGGTGCGTTTGGTTACCCTTATTGGAGGTGATATCCCTTAGTTTGTTAGCACATGTGGACGTTTAACTTATTTGGTTAGAATGGAAAAAGCCTGTAAAATGGCCCAAGCCTGGTATTCATTCCCACAGTTTTTTTACTCTGTATCCCTCCTTTTTTATGGGATACAATATCACCACATTTATCTACTTGGGTTAATGACTAATTTAACCTTCTTTAAATACCAAAAACCTGTTGCATCGGTATAGATATTAGATGTAAAAATTACACACAAAATTGTAAAAATCTCGCAGATCTGGGCGATGGATGCCTCTCATTTTTTGCCCGTCGTTAATGATTGTGGCGTCGAACAAAAGGGATGACGGCGAACAGCGATGGACGACTGGGGGAATCTAAACCACAACAAAAAATGGCTCACTTTATGCCTATTCTTTTCGGGGCATCTATCTCCTTTTAGTTTGTGA